ATTTACTGAGCGTGACAGTGTCATTGATTTTGAAAATTAAAATATTGATTATAACAGTTGTTTGATAGGTTACACAATGTGTATCACAATAGAAGCAAATAATTTTACTTTCACTAGACAAAAAGTATTCTGGATGAGTAGCATGTAGCATCGTCACAGTATATCCCTGTACGTTATAATAGACTCGAGTGAGTCCAGAATAATATAATAGTTTGTGAATGATAGGGGTAAAACTGAGCTGGGTGAATACATCTTAGATACACCAAATAATAATAAAAAAAGATTAATTGCAAACGAACAGTAACAACGTTTCCTGACAATTATTCAAATGTTAACTTAATCATTATAACAACACACATTCTCACTAGTAAGGAAACCCAAATAAAATCCCGAAAACATAAGAAGAAAGCAATACATCCATAACTGCATTGCATTGAAGGTTTTATGGTTACTAATATCGTGTGTAACACGTCAAGTTGTTCACGTTCACGTTATATGCGACATTTTGGGGTTTCATTTTGTGGTTCAGCTCGTACTTTACAGTCCTACGTGACCAATCCAACTCCAATTTTACCGGCCTCAGTGAAATAAATCATACCTCAATTGCATTTTGTTTACGTTGTTTGTTCAACTAATCACGGAATTCTTAAAATTGGCCTTTATATTCTAATAATATTGATTTCGTTAAACCTATTTTAAAGGTTGTGAATTCCGCTTACTCAAAACACTCATTTTGCATAATTTATGCTCACAACAAAAGTATGTGTAGTGTGTTGAGAGGTGTATGGGTATATCAGGCGAATGTTTTGTTTTTTTTTATTTTCACCTTGGAAATACATGATTTCTGGCGCACATTCAACAGGCCTAGCAATGTACAGATAGACTTGCAATTTTGTACCTGTGACACCAAAGTCCCTCAATCGTCATTCCCGCCAATCCTGCTAACATAACTGCCAATAATTATTGTGCCCCTCTACGGCCACAACACCCAGTTATAAATGGAGGGAAATTATTTTCTTATAGCAATCCAGTAACATATGCCAGGACATGAATTATTTTACAAAAAAAAATTACAAGCTTTGAAAAGAGTGTAGTTAAGCAGAAGAAGACACACTTAAGAATATATGTCAAAAAATACATGTCCCTGGGTAAGAAACATAGAAAACGATTCTTTAACAATTATTTGAATTCGTTGTTCTAAATATTTGGGATACGACGTGATTGATACCTTATTGTGTGTATACAAAACTGATATTCGCAAATCATATACCTTAGGAAGAGCACCTCAGAAATACAATATATTATATCAATCGACTTCACGTTCCGATAAATCGGATTTACCATTGGTAGAGTTGCGTTCTTTTTTTTTCGATATTGGTTATTGAGATTGTTGTTAATGATATTGAGTTTACGATTTAATATATATGTTGATGTACACCTTTTGACATGACAGACACATTACTATCTCTCAAACAGCTATTCTAGCGCTAGTTGTAAAACCTCAATATTTGCACCAGCGCGACAAAACATTTTTACAAGCACGCTCGAATAGTTTAATTATTGCATACACTTCACATAAGGCGAGCAGGTATGTATATACGGACAATTTACGAGAACGAGCAAGTCTTGAAATAAGCATAAAATCCTTATGTTAATATTGTAAATTTTCTATATATACCATACAATTTGATGTAACGGGTGTCATAAAATATGACAGAATGTACCTGAAAGCAAAGTTACGGCATATCTCTCTACGAATGAAACAGGGTACATGGTGGCATTGAACTGTCCAAAATATACATTCCGCAATGAATTTTAAATTCTTTTATTAAACTGACACAGCAGACGAGACACGCTGAACTGTGACTTGGTACTGCATGTACAAAACACCAGGTCGATGGCCTTTGTTCCCGTGACCTTCTTTTGACGGTGCACGAGTTTTATGGTCCTGTGGTTAACTATAGTAACATCAGCAACCTATTAAATTTCAGAAATTCCAATGGTTAATAGTCATTCGTATACTCGGGTATTTCATATGTAATCAAAATGCTTGTGTTAGGATAATAGCCAAGTCGTCGAACGCTAATAAAAACTACACCACACTCAATACACCTACGTCCCCCAGATAACAAATGGCTTGTGCTATATACACTGGGTACTCGCAGACCTGACATTGTTGCGTTGTGAAGGGCTCATACCACTAATTGAAACTCCATAGACGACAATGTTAACATATGACGAGATTAATATATGAAAATAATAAACAAAGTTGAAAACATAGCTCTAAAATGGGAAATCAACATGCCTGTAATCAACCACATGAAAAAAACACACATGTTGGCCAGCTCAAACTCTTGCAAAACTCAGGTAAACAAGACACACCTACTGTATTTGGACTGCACCTAGAGAAATCACTGGGAAAACACCAAGATTAGAACATCCAAATACACACGGAATAATCCCACAGGTACACAGCCGCTAAGTAGTAAACAAAAGACCTCATGTTAGTCTCACCTCTGACCCAGGTGATCGCGCACTCAAACAGGGAAAACCTGAGAAAAATAATATTAAAAAAATGTCATTGGTTCCTGCTAGGCATTTAAATTGGGCTACGAGCAGCCATTGGTTAATTAGTGGCATGAGACCTGAACCTGTACTCTAATCATGGAGGTCAATCTTGATTTACAGATTGAGAGAGATAACGCTACTTTTGACGCGGTTGAACTGACTTACATTAAAGACGGCGGTGCCAAGGTTACACAACGACGACGTTATATAGGTAATACAAATGCATTTACAATATTTAATCTCGCTCGCAGTTCAAATCAGTATAAATATATACATAAGCAACATCATTCCAGAATCAAGGTCGGCCAACGCTTTGGAATATTACTTTGACAAGAACATTGTAGGCATTGGATTAATTTGGGAATTCGGTGAATTGAATAAAGCATGTAGATGTGCATGCCCTAAAGCAAATATAAGGGTCAGCGCACTTATTGTGGGTTTCAATGAACTTTGTGCGGTTACCGTGCATGCGGTCGAACTAATGCTATCCAGTCATTTCCTTTATACAATTCACTTTGCATACCTGTCCAAGCCATTGGTGATAAATGTACAAATCCGATGAATCAAAAAATACAACTGTTAGACGCCGCCATGTTTTTAACTGTCACAATACGACTTCAAATGTAGACGAAAAAATCTTCAATAATATCTGCACATGCGTTACCTCTGTATATATATATATTTGCTTCTTACCATTAGACAAATCTGATGGAGGTTAGCGTTAACGTTTGAATGCTTTTGTTTCAAAGATTCATAGACTATTTCAGGCATGAAAAGAAAAGTCTACAAACCAGGCAAGATTGGGCGAATTAAAACCATGTGACTTAAACCTTGTAACATCGGTCAACATTTGTAGTTTTGCACGTGGGGAATGACATCAAATTTGTGGCCGCAAGGATCTAATCGTAAAATCGAAACTGTGGAAACGATTTTTTACCCCTGAAAGTGATATAAACGTTTGCACAATTCACGTTATATAGGAAAAATGTAGTTCCTATTAACAGATAAACAAGATAATGTTGCGAGCATCAAAACCTTAATGATTTAAAATGGTTGATTATGACAAGTAGTATAATTTTATTCACAACCATAAACTATTCATTTGTTGACATTCAAACACTAACGTCCAGTACACTCGTATCTTGACCATGGGCTACGGCAGGTACTTGTGCATGAAGATAAATTATTATGTTCAACTGTTGTCAACCACGGTCGACTACTGTCTACCATACTTGGTGATTATTGTCACGCCTATTGCATAGCAAAGAAGCTAGAACAAGGCTACAGTTAGGGCAAGAACAAAGCAGAGAAAAACGGTCATGTTCCAAATACTTGGTCAAACAATTTGACACGTCATGACAGAAGGCAACATTTTATACCGGATTCAAAAGTTCAGCCAACAGTTTGTATTATCTGCAGAAATTGTTCATAATTAGCATGACCATTCACGGCAGTATCTTGTCGACCATAGTAATATGAATTATACAGAAATGGTTAACTTTTCACTGCTGATCATGTTTTGGTCCATTTAGCAGAGCTTGACGGTGGAATTTCACTGCACTTTATTTGATCTCACAGAATCCTTGGTGTGCGACGATCCGGATTTTCAACAGGAGGATCCTAACTTCCTATCGAGAGATGAGTTATACACATCAGCTGTCAGAAGAGGTGTGATGATAGAAAAGAAAATATTACAGTTGAATATTACGGATGCAAAAGAGTAGTACTGGTTGAGAGAGTATGTATAATTGCACAATAAAAAGCATGAATACCACGGTATATTGTCGCGTTCTGATTTAGAACAAATTAAAATAGACCCTGAAACACATATTTTACCATTTAAAGTAAAATTGACCATGCTGCCTAATTTCCGTTATTTTAATTTGTTTCCTAACATAAACAAATATACATATTTACTATCGATATTTGCTATTCATATTTTCATATTTTGGAACCCAATATAGCAGAACTTAACCCAATATTAACAGTGTCAATAGCTCATAATGCTCTTTCTAACCATGGCTTACATAAATAAGAGAGGTCTAATCAAATCGTAAAATTAATTTTATGACACAGATACAGTGGTTAAATACAATGTTTATGGAATCATCTCACTAATTCATTCTCATGTTTCACTGACTGTTTCAATTCTGTTGATTGAACAACACAAATTTAATTTCAGTGCAGCTATAGGAAAAAGACATGGAACAGCAATCGAACTTCATAGCAAAATGTTTGTACCAACCCTTATTGGCCAAGCGTCAGAGAAACAAAAAAGAAAATGGCTACCTTTAGAAGAAAATCTTCACATTATTGGAACATTTGCTCAGACAGAATTGGGACATGGTGGGTAGCTGAAATTCAGATACTATTTTAAACGCCATCTTCTATACCGGCGGTTAATATTTTGAATTATCTTGATATTTCTTGATTCCTTCGTTCATAGGGACTTTCGTGAGAGGGCTTGAGACAACTTCAACATATGATCCAAAAGCACAAGAATTCGTTGTACATAGTCCTACACTATCATCTACAAAGCTCTGGATAGGAAACTGTGAGTATGATTGTACTTGCATAATATGTATAACAACATATGATTATTTTTTATGTGTGTACATATTATTAACTAATCTGTCAGTGGCTATTATAAAACCAAGTGTAACTTATTTTCATTACACTTCGTCTCCAGGAAATGTTGATTCTCGTTCATCGAAACATAGTTAATTGATCGTTGCATATCGATGATAAAGTCTCTTTTTTTCTTTCTCGTTATAGTGGGTAAAACAGTAACCCATGCAATCGTGATGGCGCAGTTAATTACTAATGGTAAACAATATGGAGTACACCCATTTATTGTTCCACTGAGAAGCCTGGAAAATCATATGCCTCTACCAGGTGAGAATTTTTTTTAATGAAAACTGAGCCTCGATTTTATTAGAGTTTAGATACGTCAAAAAAAATGGTATGGCTGTATTTTTGTATGCTCGTTGACAGTAATTTCTGAACGTACAATTAAGAGACAGTGTTATATGTACGTGTTTAAATGAAAATAGTAACCATTTCCACATTTAGGAGTGACTGTTGGTGATATTGGACCAAAGATGCGTTTCAATAGCAATGATAATGGGTTTCTGAGACTAGACCATGTTCGCATTCCGAGAGACAATATGTTAATGAAACACACACGGGTAAATAATACACAATGCAGTTCATGGTGTTGTTTACGAAATTCGACACCTTAAAACCGTTATGCAACGTCCCACTGGTTATTATATATTATGTGTGTCACATATACTTCATATAATCAAATGCCTGCAATCGAACACACCTGTATCTAGTGAACACCGCTTCATCATGACTAGATGGAAGTACACAAGCCAAATTCGGGAAATGACAAACAACTGTTCGGCTGCAAACATAGAAAAGCGTGTATTCATCGTGAGAAATTAATCCCCTTTCTCTGCCTGAAACTTAAAACCTGAAAATTATTATAAACGCTATAAAACATTATGAACTTATTTGTCGCCATTGTCGCTGTCTTTATTTTCAATATAATATTATATTGTTAATAGGTGTTGGCGGATGGTACATATGTCAAACCACCAACAAATAAGCTGGTATACGGTACACTCGTTTATGCCAGGGTCGGGTATCTGCTCACTTGTACTGATTGCCTAGCAATGGCGTGTACCATTGTCTCTAGATACAGCGCTGTACGCAGACAGAGTGAGATGCAACCAGGGTAATGCTTTTTTCAGTCTTACTCCT